GTCTAAGGTTTCACTCCTTCCTCTTTGCCAGTAAGTGCCAGTATAAATAATTATCTCCACATCAGCTACCCCAGGGCCTGGATTCTTTGGGGTTGCGGAGCACTTTTGTTTCAATAAGGCCGCTATCATTGGGGCATTAAGTTTAAATCCCTGTAGTTTTATTAGTAGAAAAATAACAATGTCTCATAGTTAGGATTTTATGTCAAGATATCAGGTTTTATTTTAGTGAATTCTTTGATTCCCACCTCTGTTTTCTGTGTTGGTGTACTCTCTCCTTCTGCAACTTTTACCATCTCTAATTCTACTAATCACTAAATAAACAACAAGGCTCAATAAAATAACTCACAGTAAGTGAGCTCATCACATGTAAACTAGTGTATTTTTCATATTTTCACATAAACTGGATAGTGTATTATTATTTCACTTCCAAATAATACCATGGATAACTTTATTAATATTTAAAAGACACATGATAAGTATGTGCCCCTATTTTCCTGGTATTAGCATTAAAAAATAAATAAAACAATTAGCAATTTAAGTGACTTATTGAGATACCTTTATAACTTACCATGAGCAATAGCACTATTTGAACATAGTTCTGACTCAAATATCTGCCCGTTACTGCTCAAAATTTCCATTTTTAGGTGTTTACAATCTGAGTGAGCAAATACAATTATGCATATTGAGACTGAGACAGAATCATAGATTCACACACACAGTAGAGAGATAGTCTAAGACTGTATTTAACGAGGTGCCTAAATTAGGACTAAATTCAGAGGGCAGGGTATACATGCTCTGACCATTATGAGATGGAGTCTTGGGTGTGCTCAACAAATGGGAATCAAGGAGAAGGGAAATGTCTCATGACTGGGCTAATCCTTTTAGATTATTCGAAGCTGTGGCCCCCTTAAAAGCAACAGAGAGGAAGCAGATAAAGGGGCCAAAGAAAAGGGTAGTTGAGAATTAGTACATTAAAAACGGTGAGTGTTCAAAACAGGGTCAAATAACTAAGTAAGAACAAAAAGAATAAAGATAAAGAGAAGGATAGTAGGTCTGGCCGGAAGAGTTCACTGGTGGCTTGCAACTCAGTATTTTAATAAGATGGCAGAGTGGAAGTTGGACGTCAGTGTTAAGGGGTGATCCCTACAGCAGCTTCCAAAGGAAAAAGGCCCCTTGGCTTCCTCCTGTTGTTGCCTTTCTAGGTACGGGCTCTGCCCACCTCCACCACATGGGTGTCTGAGGAGGGGGCTCTGGAACACCACCCCCGGCCCTCCTGACCTTTCTCTTTTCGAGTCTCCCGCCCATCCCCTTCATTCTTCCCGGGTACTACTTGGATTGGCAGCTTTTGCATGTCTTTCAGACACTTAATTGCACATCCCTATGACGTTGACTAGGATAAAAACTTTCAAATGTAGCCAGAGTAGTCTTTAGAATCTCAGAGAAGAGAGAATCTCATTTCCAGAGATTATGAGACTAAAAATATCCGACCTAGCTATAGGATTAATCCAAGTTACTAGATTGAAAATGTCAGTGGGACAAAATAAAAACTGTTTGTTTCCAGTGTTTTCTAGTTGGTAAACACTAGCATAAATGTTTTTATGTAGAGGAAATACAGTCACCCCATTGAAATGGCCATTTTTTAGTAGAACTCTGAAGACTTTCATTGACTTCTTTATTCCGAATAACAGAATTTACAGGGATGCATTTCAAACAGCAAGGGTGCTAATGTTCACTATGGTGGCAGGTGCCTTCCCAGGCTCAGAATAGGGTTTTTGAGGAGAATTTATATGCAATGAATTGCAAATTGAGGAAAGTCGTTTGCTCATAAATCTGAAGGACAGTGATGGCTGATAAAATGAAAGGGAAAAAATTATGCAAGTTGTTATTGGTAAGATCATAGCTTATTGCTGTGCTTAAAACACCACTGAAAATGTAACCTTTGTTTTTTCATTTTGTGAGCTCATGAGAAAAAATAAAGGTAGATGAAGCTCTTAGATGTTTAGAATATACTGGAGACTCACATGTTAGAATACACAGGAATTTGACATAAAAACAAATGTTTTTTGAAATTCCAGAAGTTGAAATCCTTAAAGGGAATTAATAACTGAATCTAGTTTTATCTTCATTCAGTAGAGTCTGTAGATTCTGTTTAATTAGTTTATCTTCACTTACCCAAAGGCTGTATTCGTGAAAATAGCCACTTCATAAAGGTGACCCAAAGCACATGTCCTAACTGCTTACAAAGACTCAGACCTTGTGATGTAAGGTTTCTGCCATAAATAATTCACATGTTCACAGCGGAACTACACGTACCGATGCCCCAGGTTCCTGTCACATTAACTTTCATTATTGATGAAGGGTAAACTCAGAGAGATTATAACTGTCATAATAATTACGATTTATATTGTTAGTTGGGGACGGTTTTGCTGAGAGCTATTCTAGTCTGACTGTATTACCTGGGAACAAATTCTTGCTTTTAGCCTCTAGCTATAGTTCTAGTATAGTAGAACAAAAGAGTAATTTCTACTAGTACTATGATAATTCATAAGAAAAATAAAATATTATCCACAAATTCATCATTAACTTAGATTTCATCCAGGCTTTTGGGGGTAAATCACAGGCTTTCTCCAAAGCCCAGAACAACTTATATCCTAAAAACTGACTCACATCTCATGTTGCAGTCATCCTGAGGGTGCCTTAGGTTAAACAGATTGTCCTCACGTATTATGTGCAGGCCAGGAAAACTTGGCTCAAAGCTGGCAGCTCTACAGATCTAAGAGTTTAAAAATAGATTCTATTTTTAGATTAATATACACTTATTAATACTATGTGACATGCACTGTTTTGAATATTTTATCCATTACAATGAAGATTTTCTTTCTTTCTTTCTTTTTTTTTTTTTCAAACCCAACATTTCCTTACAGGATCCTATCTCACCCAACCTCAGTCCGTATACTTGACCCCTGACCCCAGAAAAAGACATTTGACCAAACTAGGAAATGAAAGATATATCTGGGACTTTGGGAGTTTTGGGGAAAATGTTCTTACTCTACAGGAGAAGTTAAGATAGCAAGGTCTGAGCCTGAAGATGCTGGGAGCTGTCTTTATCAGTAAGGAAACAGCCTACCCAGGAATTACGCCAATGCAAAGCACTTAAGCCAGTGAGAATCAGAAAGGTGGTATCAAGGCACCTTTTCTGAATGTCTGAACCTGGCTGCTCCTGCAGCAGCTGGAGTGGACAGTAATATGAAACAATAAATTCCTTTTTCTTGTTAAACCAATGTGAATTGGGATTTCTCTCACTTCTATGAAGAAGTCCTAATATATTTATATTTTCTGGAGTCCTGATAAAGAAATATGAAGTGGGTATTATCCCTGTCATGCAACAGTTGAGGAAACAGAGACTTAAAGAAACTAAATAATTTGCCCAAGATGACACTTCCCAAAGAGGAAGTGCTGGGATGGCAGCTCCAGCTTTTCTCACTGCAATTCTTTTCATACTATTGGTCACGGATTAGAGTTGAAACGTTCGTAGTGCCTCGGTGACTCACTGCCTCCCACTCTATCGCACCACATGATTTACAGGGCGCATTTGTGCCATGTTTGGGTTATAAATAGTCTGTGGCTAAATACTCGTCTATTTCACTGGCCTGAAGCTAATGGCCCCAAAAAAATCTTTGGTGAATAAGATTTTGTTCTAACTACCTTATTTAAACAAACCATCTACTTCCAAGAGTGTTTAAAAGGAAGCCTTTCACTATGGCATCGTTTTGCAGCCCCAAAGCCTGGGGCCACGACAGAAGTGAGACGACGATTCCGCCATGCTCCGGGACTTCAAGCATGCCAATACTATGGGCATTCTTACATATACATTTTAGAAATTAGTTATTGTCATTTCTTCAAAGAGATAAAATGTATCAATTACCCTGGAATATGGCCAACTGACTAATAAATTGGGGTCTGTGAATGACCCTGTTTAGGACCTTATGGTTTCTTCAACAGAGGTATTGTCTTGTGTGCTTGCCTTTCAAATCTACTTTTTATCTCCAATTACAAGCCCCATAATAAAAGGGTCTACCTCATAAGTTGTGACATTTAAAATGCAGTAATGCATAGCACTTTGTCAGCATGATAAGAACTCAGCAATTGATATATCATGATTTCTATTATTTTGTTTTTTAAATTATTTAGATTAGAACCCATTGCATAATAGACACAGCATGTTGCTGTGTGCTTGTCTAACTAAATGTCCAACGTCCAGTAGTATTATAGTCTCCGTCAACTGTAGACATGGATTTATGTAAAAGAAATCTATCAGACTTCCTCTGATATCAGAAAATGTGCCCATTTCTACAACCAGGATTCATAACTTGTGTTATATTCAAAATAAATGATATATTTTTGCTTCAAGATAATGAAAGATAGCTGTTAACTTCATAAGACATTTATTCATCACAAATATTTTGATTATTTTTTCCCCAGGCACATAACAAAGGTTTGCAACAGTTTTGGATACACAGAGAGCAGATACTTCAGGTCTTAGAAATAAAGCTGATCTCACACTGGAGTCCTGGTTTAAGAAATTAAGGGCTGGAAATGCAAAATCTTATCTGAAAATGTGATGATGGCAGTAATAATAAGAATGGTAACAGAAAAATATGTTTTGTTATATATTACTGCAATCCAACATTAGCCAATGAGTTCATTAAAGTTGCACAGGTTTGGGAATGAAGAAGGTGGAAGCCGCATGGCTACCTTAAAGCCCCAAGCGAGCGTAAAGGCTCCAGACTCACCTTCAGCTGGTACGCTCTGGACTTGAAACAAATGCAATTCCAGTTTTTAACAACAGATTTCCTCTCGGTTGTGCAACTTGTTTGTCTCTTTTCTTTGTCTAATACCTAGAATGTAAAGTCAGCGCAAGGCCAAGAGAAGCCTTCATTTGACCACTAACCTCAGTGTCAGCTCATCATTTTGTATTCTTTCCTTGTCTTTCTCACTAGGTCCATGAACCGTTCCGAGCCTCGGTTTTCCCTTACAGTTACAGTTTGGCTTCATTTTGTCATGGGAACTGCCTCCTGGCTTGGCCTGCTCAGGCTTTCTCCGGGGAGTCCTTTGGGGAGCTCCCCCAGCTGGCCTCAGTCTGTAATACCACCAAAGGCAGAAGCGGGCTTCGGAAGTATTTTGCAAAGACAAAGACGAATATGCAAGGCATTGCAGTCCATGAAACCAAGGTAAGATTTTTTTGTAAGTGGTAAGGAAAGGCAACTCCACAAGAATATGGGTGGGGGGCCCTGGCAAGATAACGGTGGCCTTTTTCTCCCCACATAATGTCACGTCGATTTGGCAACTCATATCTGGAAAAAATGGAAGATCACTCTCTAAGAGAGTGAACATTAGGAACTCATTGGGGTCAGTAGCTCTCTAAATTGTATCTTTTCTTCATCTTTGACATCTGGTGAGTCTTGACATTCAAACAAACACATTTAATATGTGCCCAGTTTTGTACAGTGGTTTCCTCTAAGACATCTGAAGTGTGTTTAATGGGCCTAGTTAGTTATTCTCTGGTCATCTGGGGTATGTTCTCGGTATTCCCTGTTCAGATGTGGACACTTACAAGAAGGTGACATCGCCTCTGGAGCCAGACTCTCTGGACGTGAATCCTGGCTTGCTAGTTCCATGACTGCCAGAAAGTTAACTGTTCTTTCTGTTGTCCCATTTCTCATTTGTAAAATGTGAATACTGACAAATTCTGCAATGGGATATCAGGATTATTAAATAAGTTAATATTTAAAAATATTTGGAACAGTGTCTAGCATATACTAAGTGCTTTATAAGAATCTGTTAAATAAATTTTACAGTAACAAAAAATGGCAACTCAAATGATGAACACTAACTTGGAAGATGTAGCTTGGTGTGATTCAGAATCTCCAACAACAAAGACATGCCTTAAATTTAAATATGAATGCCCTCTCATTTCCGCACAAGAAATTAAAATTCAAGGGATGAATCCTGAAACTGTTCATAATGGGTATATTCGTATGAACCCAAACTGGAAATAATCCAAATGTCCATCAATAGGAAATGGCTAAGCTGTGGAAATGGGTAATACAGTTGAACAATAAAGGGACTAAGGTACTGATAAGTGCAAAACCTAGAAGAATCTCACAAATATATGTTGAGCAAAAGAGTCCCTGTTACATGGTTTCTTTTATATGAGGTTAAAGATCAACAATACAAATATATAGTGATATAGTTAAAAGACCGATTTCTTGGGTTGAGGTGGGGCAGGAGGGTTGACTGGAAAGGATGAGATAACTTTCTAGGAAGATGGGAATATTACTTTTCTTTATTTGAGTGGTGGTAACATGGAATATATATTTGGGTGAAAAAACCTCATCAAATGTATATCTAAGCTCTGTGCATTTTACTCTGTAAATTATATTGCATATGCTCAGGAACAGTCAGGGCAGAGTCCTGAACTTTCAGAACATATCTGTGTGACCCCCACTGTGTTCAGTCTGATCATCACCCAGGAAGCAGAGGCGAGGTGATGCTCCTGTTCTGGAGAAAGCCACATTTAGTGACCAGTCTGCCTTACCCAAGTGTGGGGATCAGCAGGAAGGGAGCGAGGGAAAGGGAGAATGCTTGTTCAGTTCATTTCTGAGGAAGCTGTTCCACTGCCCAACAGTGGAAGCACAGAAGGCTCGCCCAATACCCTGCTTGCCCATCTACTGTTGAGTAGCTTTTGTGATAAAAAAGCTTACCACTGAGCACCTGAAAACTGTCCAGAAAGCTGAGCACATGGCACAGATTAGATGCAAGAGCCACAGTGCTCAGCTGATTGGAGAAAAGCAGAAAACATGACCAACAGAAAATAATGTTGAAGCAGGGAGGCACCACTGACAGCTCCAGGAGAGGGCGGGGCGGGCCGCAGGCCGCGCAGCCTCCCCCACCGGACACACATGACGCACTTCTGACTGAGTCACATGTCTGATGCAGTGTCAGCCTCTGCATCAAAATCAGCCCTTAGCTTTTGCCGCTCTACTATGGAGGACGTGGCCGCGTTCACTGCGAGGGTGGATCTAGGCAGCGATGTTCGCAGCCCATCAGAACGAGCCCTGACCGTGGATATCTATGTGAGTGAGCCTGATGTCATTTTGTAGCACGATTTGTTTCCAAAGTTTGTGGCCTCAAAGAGCAGTGCCTTAAAATCGCTAGTTTGAAGTTTTCCAAGTGGTGGACCAAACAGCTAGGCTCTTTGGCAATAGCCCCAGAATCAATGAGAATCTAACCAGGCTCATCAAAGGGGGGTATTGCCAGAACTCAGGAGTAGAATTGAATCCTATCCACTGAGAGGAGAGGCCACGTCTGTTCTCAGGTCTCCCGTGTGGACCCCGAGGCTGAACAGCCGCAGCAGCCCAACGGGCACCATCTGGTTTCAGCTCAAACTATATGCAGACCGGGCCCAGGCATGTAGTTTATTGTGAAAACAAACTGCAGCTATAAAAACATATGACTCACAAACATAGTGTTGAAGAAATGACTTCCTACACCCCCCAAAAATTGCTGTATGATTTTGTTTATAGAAAGTTCATTTAAGGGCAAACTTCAACCATTGATGCCACTTCCAGACGGCATCCACAACGTGAACTTTAGAAGAAACTTCTCAGCAGGCACTTGATTAATTCGGGCACTGTGACTTTACTCTGGAAGGAAAAGCCACCCATACATCCTCCCTCCTCCCTCAGAGTGACATTTCTGACACTGGTCTTTTTCAGTGATCAGAAATCTGCAATGGAGACAGTTCCGGTCACTAGGCCCTATTTGGGGTACTTCTCTTCCCGTCCAGTGAAATATCATAATTGCCGTTTCCCTTAGAGCTTCTATTTCCAGCAATGGGGCTTTGCATGAGCTCTGTATGGTGACAGGGCTTCCACGGAATCTCGTAAGCAGACATTTTTAGTTTTGTGCCACAGAGGCTACTGCTACCGTCTGTTCTTGTGGAATTGCTTAGGTTTAAGCCTTTATTAGGAGCAGTCACTCATCTGTGGACAGAATAGATAGACCATAAGCTGCATGTACCCATTAAAGTCAACATCCACAGGGCCAACTTAACTAAGGTGAGAGTAATAAAAGGTGACTGCACCAGTAAATGTCTGAGCAAAAGCTTTGACTAACCAAGCAGGGCAGAATTGATGCCTCTTTTGGGCCCTAGGCACTATGCCTTCAGAAACTTCTTAATATAATGAAGTTAAAGTTCTTAATGAAATTTTAAAAAGTTATTTTAAAATATTGAAAATTATACTTCCTGACTGCATTGGTATAAAGACAAACCCAAGCTGGATTATATCTATTTCTTTTCTTCAGATTTTTAAAGAAATGAAAACATTGTCAGGGGCTCCTAAAAGCATGTGGCTTTCGGTATTAGGCCTTCTGTGTCCACACAGTAAGTTGGCCTGCCAGTGGGTCAACATGCCCTGCCCTCACAGGAAAATCGAAACTCCAACCCCAGGCCTTGAAGACTCCGTGTTGGGTTTTGTTACTTATTTCTCAGGGATCTTGGCCAATGTAACAAAATGGTGAAGTCTTGAGGGAGTCCAATAAATAACACCTTTTATCCCTCCCAAAGGCAGAAGACAACAGGAAGGGAGATGGGGGTCAAAGTACCACCTTTATTACCAATCAACGCGATGTTGAAGGCTGCCGTCCATTTGACTCTTATATTTACTGTAAGAATTAGGAAAATGTACCCACGCATTTGCTGGCAATCTTGGACTGAAGCCGAGCGCTCCACAAGGCAGGTAAGAACTGGCTTCCGAAGTAACAGCAGCCACTGCCTCTCCTGGTAGGAAGGCGGCTCCTGAGATTCTTCCCAGATTCTTCTCCCCACGCTCGACACAGATTGGCCCCTTAGTGCAGGGGTGGGGGGGAGTGGAAATCATAAGGAACTGCTGAGAGAGATCAACCAAGTTCAGAGGACGTGCTTCCCTCCAAAGCGCCCATGTTAAATGTCAAGAATATTTAGGAGCTTCCCAAGGATTAGCAGGATAGGAGAGGAATTACGTTCAATATTATTTTTACTTTTAAGCATACTCTGCAGGGAGGAGAATGAAGGAATGAAACTAAAGCTTCACATCACTCAATAAACCAATCATACTTATTAAATGGTTAGGCCTACCCCTTTGAAATAAAGGTAGTTAAAAATATTTGAGGCCTTTGTTTTTCAATACACGTTATAGAAAAACAGGCATTGATTCCTGGTGGAGTTTAATAAACAATTACAATACATATGAAAGTAAGAACGAGTTTCCTTGCTCTCAAGTTCCTGTTGCCAAATTGAGTAGGACTAAAGGTGAAAAGCAAACAAAAGAAAAGTATTTGACAAAATTGCCTGTTATTGCTATAGAAAGGTTCTGGTCTAACTTCATCAAATCTGTGTTATGTCCATTGCTCAAAAAAATATGCATCAAGGGCCTTCTATATGTAAATTGGGAATACAGTGCAGCTTTGCCCTCACGGAACTACTGCCACACCTTACAGCAAAAGTGGCTCAACAGGCTCAAACACCGAAAGGAAATTATGCCCAGATTTTGACCCATAGTTTCCCAAGGACAAACAAAAGTAAATATTATTTGAAGAATGTCAAGGAGATAAAAAGTAGCCTTTGAATTCTCGGTACTACTATGACTACTAAAAAAGGTATTGTTCAGTCATGAATCATAAATATTATCAGTTGCCCACCTATTTTTCTCTTTCACATCTATGTGTAGATAAAAAAATATATCCTTATAAATTGACAGCCAAGAATTACCATAATCAGGTCACAAACACAGAACAGGTTTATTTAATAGTAGCTTAATTGAACTTGTACTTAATTAATAAATGCCAACAATGTTTCACTTTATAAATTTTTTTATATATAAAGTCTGGAGGCTTTTGTTTCCTCAGTTTTGTATCATGATAATCCACTTTATCAGTTAATTTCTTGCCCAGCCAAGGTGCAAGATTTAGTCTTGGTGGACTGTTGGTTTGTTTCATGAAGAAACATCTGGTGGTTTGCTAATCAGATTTATTTTATGGGCTTTGTATAACTGTGTAAGGTGCCCTTTTAAGTTATTCATCATTAAGATTTTCTTTAACAGGTACCCTTTCCAGTAACCACATACCTATATATCAAGCTTTGTTTTTAATCCATTTCTTTTGTCTTTTGCAACTTTGTCCCTGAATAACTCATTGGTAGGGATAACTCAACTGTTAATTTACTTTTGTTATAATTAATGGCTACAATATTGTGGCTTTTCTAGTAAGAAGTTCTTATAATAATTATTATACTTTCAATAACCACCTTAAAGTTCCTTTGATACATTAGTGCTAATAATCGCTACAGTGTCCCTGAAATACATGTCATACAACGGTACACATGGCAACACACCCACAGTTGGTTGGTGATTGGAAAAGAGTCTTGCCACAAATTCTTTACATTCAATAAAAGGTAGAGAGGCATCTAAAGAAATAATGTCACAAAGTATCTTTTGGCCACCCAAATGCTAAAAATAATTGTTTGTTACAATACAGCTTTGAGATAAAATAGGGATTCTTGGAGTCATTGTAAATGTATTTCAAAAGTAGGTTTTGTTTTTTCCGTGCTGGAGTGATTCTCAAGTAACAGTGGGTTTTCTTAAGTTCCTTATTTGCTTCCATACACACTGTAGCCTCAGTGACGGGTCACGCCAGGTGGCCTTGCTTGTGCCTCACAACGGCTTCTTACCAATAACAGGGGTCACACAGAACGTGGCCTGCTCAGAAAAAATATATCATCACAAAAGCTAAAACCTGTGTTAATTGCTGTAAACAGATCAGATTCCACCGACCGTTTCTTTTGGCTGTTGTCTTCTCACCCCCTGGGAAGACGAAGGCCAATTAGGAACCCACACTGTCCTCCTCTGTCCCCTTTGGACGGGGCAGGAACGTGGGACTTGGTGGGACCCACGACATGTGAGCTCGTTCCCTCCTTCCTGCCTCCGGAAGTAGCGAACGGAGGGAAATCGCGCCTCCCTTGGCCTGGGAACCTGAACCAAGACAGCACAGAATGGGCCTCCCGCTTCCCCCAGCAGGATCTGCAGAATGAACAGCAAGAAACCTCTGAGCTCTGAAGTCACTGAGGCTTTAAAATTGTTAGCACAGCATAACCGTAGCCTGTCCGGCTGCTACACACGATTTGCTCAGTCTGGGCCAGGCGATGGGGACGCTCCCTTAACGTGAAACGCTACAGATTCACGTTCGTTCACCCAGAAGGATGCTGGTTTCCCCGGACGGCACAGAAGGCCGAGGGGCCCGTGCGAGTGGGGCTAACCGCCCCGCACCCCTCGGGGCGAGGCTGTCCTCCTCCTGCGGGGCTGCCCTTGGCGCCCCTGTAAAACCCCCTGCGGCCCAGGCTCTGTTGAGGACCCAGCCTACAGCCTCACTGTGAGCACGTGGGATTTGATTCCTAATTAAATAGCAGGAGATTGAAAGGCATTAATAAGCGGGGAAGATCCTGTTAGCTGGTGGTGGTGGTGGTGGTGGTGGTGGTGGTGGTGTGTGTGTGTGTGTGTGTGTGTGTGTGGTGTGTGTGTGGTGTGTGTGTGGNGTGTGTGCGCGCGCGCGAAGGCCGGGCCCAGGGAATGGAAGTAGGGAAAAACGCATCAACGCTGGGTCCGCGGGTGGGGGTTGGGGTGGGGGTTGCAGAACTGACGGAACCTGGTAGTTAATTGGATGGTGGAAGAAACGAAGTAGGTTTTTAAAAGTCGAATTAACACCAAAGCGAAGGCACAACAATTTTGTGTGTGCAGTAACAGAAAATCCAGGGCACCGGATTCAACCCGTGGGGAAGCTTGGATACAACTGAAGGCACTGAGACAAGCCTCCAGTGATAAACCGCTTGGGAAGGCTGTTTAGCCTTTGTTTTAGAAAATTATGCCCAAAGAAATGTGTAATCGGTATAAATTCAAAAATATAGCCACAGACGATTATGATTTCCATATTCTAGTTCTGTGTATTTCATGGTGTTTGCCTAATAAATTGTTGGCAGTTGGCTGTCTGGCACTTTGTAACTAAGCTGAGCTTAAACACTGGAAACTGAATTATTGAACAGTAAGAACATGGTGCGTGTTCATTTTAATGAACCAGCTCACAAGCCAATAATGGCTTGATATTCCAGAAAGTAGAACTTGTACTGAAAGGTCTAATGCCACCAAGTGTCATTTTTAAATAATATTATACAAGGTCAGCATCTGTGGATGCTGGGGTGAAAGGAAGAATTTGAATAGAACTGGAGGACTGCCATCAGGGGCTCAGTGGAAATCAAAGAGTAGAAGATATTCAGTCAAAAAAGCACTCAGCCTTAATTGAGGTCTACTGTATCATTTTAGATAAGTAACAGCCTCGATTTCCTTCTGTGCAATATTAGTATTTGACAAGCTAGAATGAAGATGAAAAAGCATTGAGAGTAAAGGAAGTCTGTAATGCTGAAGACCACTATTCATAATGAAGACATATCTGTTACATAACAAACACTGTAAAGCAGAGCATGTAAAATGAGATGAAAAGATTAAAAAATGTGAATAATGGAGACCTTAGCATCTCTCAATCCAAGAAAAGCAAGATAACAAAAATTAATAATGATATAAAAGACATAAATAATATAACCAATAAGGTAGATCTCACAGATAAATATCAAATTCTCTATGCCGTCCATGGGAAATATATTGCCTTTTCAGGTACACACTGGATATTCACAAAAGTGACATCTTAGGCCACAAAGAACACCTCAATAATCCAAAGGACAGAAATAATACAAACACCACTGTCTGCCTCCATGAAATAAAATCCGAAATCAGTTTAAACGATCTAAGGGAAGTGGGTCCTTCCTCTTGGAAATTTAAGACACACACACAATTACACACTCCTCTGTCAAAGGAGACAGAAAGTTTAAGCACAGCGTATGAGAAATCTTAGCAGAGATGCAAAGCAGTTATCAGAATGATAAAAATGAAAATATATCAATTAACTCTCTGATCCCTGTAGCTAGTAAATCAAGGGAAAGTGGAATGAAAAAAATCGATAATTTAAGACCCCAAATGAAAGAAAACAAAGGACAGTAGAATTAGGAAATGTAAGAGATATTTATTTGAAAAAAATAACTAATTAAATAATGAATAAAAGGAAAAAGCACAAATATAATTAGATTAATGATTAGTAACCATCAAAAATAGAAGAACAGCATCTCATGGGAATTTCTACCCAATTTTAAAGATCAGTTAATTCAAATGCTGCTTACACAATCCCAGTGCACAGGAAAACAAGGAAAACTTAAAAATTCATTTTCTAATTTGAGTATAATGTTACAACCCAGAAAAGAAAAAGAGAGCAATTTCACTTATGAATATTTATGACAAAAACTTGAGCAATTAGCAAAGAAAGCCAAATAGCATATTAAAAATTAATCATGACCAAGTGGAGTTTATTCTGGGAATGCAAAATGGTTCAATATCAGAAAATTGATTCATATAATCCATTATATTAATAGAACATCTCAGTTTGGGCTGTTATAACAAACTACCATAGAATTGGTGGCTTATATAAACAACAAATTTATTTCTAACAGTTCTGGAGGCTTAGAAGTCCAGGACCTCAGAGCTGGCAGTTCCAGTGTCTGGTGAGAGCCAGCTTCTGATTCACAGATGGGCAGGCTTTTCACAGTGTCTGCACATGAAGGAAGGGGCAAGAAACTTCTCTGGGGTCCCCTTTGTAAGGGCACTCACCTATTTATGAGCGCTCCGCCCTCATGACCTGGTCAATCACCAAAGGCCCCATCTCTTAATACCATCACATTGGGAGTTAGGATTTCAACATACGAGTTTTGGGGTCACAAACGTTCAGTCTACAGCATAAAATTAGACAATCACCTCCAAAGATAGAGAAAATGCATTTAAAAATAATTCAACACTCATTCATGTCAAGAAAATTCTCAATAAAAAAGGAATTAATGGATTTCCTTAGTATCAACATTATATATAAACACACATAAGAACACTTCAGAAAGCCGGCATATTGCTTGATGGAGAAATGAAAGGAATTTCCTGTTAAAAGAACAAGAAAAGGATGCCAGCTATCTCCATCATTATTGAGCATTATATTTGAAATATTAGCCACTGCAGTTGGACAAGAGAAAACTATCAGAAATATAAGAATTGGAAAGGAAAAGGTAAAGTGTTCTTTAATGCACATACGACTTTATACCTAGAAAATCCAGAGAAACAATTGGAGAATAAGAGAATCCCTTACCCCATCCCTATTCTATTTTGGACTTACATTGATTGTTTTGGGCACTGCCAGTCACTCAAGTTCAAAACCATAGTGTCATAACAATTTTAATTTCATTAGTGCTTTTACAATCTACTCTCCTCCATGTTTTGAAGATCCCACATCTAAGCAGTTGCTAAATGACATGGATTTTGCCTTTGAAACATCCCTTTTAGTCTCCTTTCTTCTCCCCAATATAGTCATCCTCAGGGGCTTACTCTTTACATGTAGGGTACGCATGGCTGCCAGTTCAGTGATGCTACCTTTAATATGTAACTTCCTGTGACATAAAGTCCCAATTCCTTGGCCTGGTGTCCTACACATAGACCCTTAATTGACCTTTCCAGCCTTAGTTTGCCCTAATCCTTTATACAGAACATTGTATGGACCAGTTTACTGAGTATCTCTTTTGAAATACTCTTTCTGGACAACATCTGCAACAATATGCACCCTTTCTGTGAGTCATCCTATAGTGAGGACACCTACCACGTGTTTAGACAGTCAAGGATTTTACAGATACAGCATCGTCCCACTTCTTCAGTCGTGCGACTTCCTCCTCCTCTGGTCACACGACCCTGTGACTCCCTTGGTACATATGTTTCATATTTCATATTTCTGTATTTTAATATTCTACTAGAATATGACTTTCATGAGGGTCATTTGCCACACAGAAGGCATTCAATAATTAGTTGCTTTATTGAATAAACTGTGGCTTCACAGAAAACAAAAATTAAGGTTTTACATTCAACCAACCATCTCTCCGTAGCTCATAGTTTACCCACGTTTAACAACCTGGTTCTAGTCCAAGTTAACAGGGCCTCTGCCATAGTGTCGTCTCAAAGCCTAGAACTGGTACAAGGTGGGCACTTGGAATAACCCTAACTTCATGGTTATATGAAAATTAGTGGTAGTGAGTAAGAAACAAGGGCTCTAAACGCTATAGCATCAGGGTCAGACCGTCATTTTCTAGTTTGCACCTAGCATAGGTGTTAACCTCTTTTAGTTTACAAATGCAAAATTTAAAAAAGTTTCAGGGGGATTACTGGACCCTTTGAATCCCATTTTGATAATTAGAAAAAAATCGCTAGCTGCGAAAGGTACAAAGTTGTTGTCAAAATATTTACGGTCAGGGGTTGGCACAGTCCGAACCCTCTCTCCCGAGGGCTATTTTAAGTTCTTATACTTTCTGCTGTAAAGCAATGCCACAGCCATGATCTCTTCTGATGCGAAGGACTCCGGCCATCCTTTTATCGGAAGTTCTGTGTTACAATGCAAGTAATTAGAATTGACGGTATCAGCCGTTATACTCCCAACAGCTTTAGCTGCCGTTGGAAGGCAAAGCATTATTAGGGGCTGCGGTGAAGGCGGACGGAGCGGGGCGGCCCGTACCCTAAACCGTCCCCTCTCCCTCCGCCGCACCCTCCAGAAAAGCTTAACGTCTGTCTCTGCGCTGGACGAAGGGGGTGTCCGGCGTTTGGTACGGAGCTGCTTCCAACGCGACGCGTCAGGACGCCCTCCGCACCACCTCGCCGCGCTGCTGGCTTCAAGGGCCGCTTAGTGACACCTCAGCAACCGGGAAGCCGCAGGCGCAGACCACCGGATCGAAGGCCCGAGAGAGGAGGGCGGGCGCGCGGGCGGACGAGGTGGGGACGCGAGCGCGGCGGGGGTCGGGCATTCCGCGGAGGCCCCGCCCCCAAACTCGCCGCTGGTTGGCGGCGGCCGGGGGCTGGAGGCGGGCACGCGGCCCAGTCCCTCCCTTCCGGCGCGGGCCCGCCCACCGATGGGTGTGTCCTGAGGCAGGCGCGCGCGCGCGCGCGCGTACGTGGGAAGACCGGAAGGGAGGCGCGGCTGGGGCGGTGGCGGCGGCGGCGCGTATCGCACGGGGCCGGTCCGCGGCTGGAGCGGAGTCCGCGGTGTGCGTGCGGAGCCGGGCCCTCTCACACGGTCGCGATGAACACGGTGCTGTCGCGGGCGAACTCCCTGTTCGCCTTCTCGCTGAGCGTCATGGCGGCGCTCACCTTCGGCTGCTTCATCACCACCGCCTTCAAAGACCGGAGCGTCCCGGTGCGGCTGCACGTCTCGCGGATCATGCTGTGAGTGCGGAGGCCCAGCGGCGGGCGGCGCGGCGGGCCGGGGCGGGGACGCCGAGGCGGGGCCTCCCGGTGGCTCTCGGCCCCGAGGCAGACGTGCGGGCGACCCTCGCGTCCTCCGTCCCAGCTCCCACCCTCCGCCGCAGATTCCCGGGCTTGCTCTTAAATTTTCATTGTGAGTGTTGCTCGGGCCGGCGCCTCCGCCTGCTTCCGGTTCCTCAGACCCCACCCCCCCGCCCTCGCCTGGCCAATGAGGGAGCCCCACAACAGCGCGCCGCGCCCGCGCCCGCCGCACGGCGTGACGTTCCCGTTCTGCGGTCGCTCCAGGCTGGCGGGGTGCTAGGGGGCCCTGTAAAACCGGACGTCCTAGCTCGCTGGGACGGCGTGTTTTTCATCTAATATTTAGGAGCGGACCTCTTGAACAAATCTGTGAAAATGCCGAAGACTGTGTTTCGGAATGACATTGCCCTCTCGCCAGTGCCCGTCTTAATCCTTGATAATTTTCTCTAGCACGTTTTTCTTTGATAGGCTGCGTTTCCTCTCCCCGACCCCCTTCTCAGGTCTTCTCTATTCCATCTCCCACCAAGTTCCCTCCACTTCTTAGGCCTGAGTTTTCTTCATTTCTTTGTCAGAATCGCCAACATGCCAGCCATCTAAATAGTTACCCCCAACCCCCCGATTAAAAAAAAATTTTTTTTGCTATGTTTATGTTTGTTAGATACTGTTTTTTAAATTCAAAATGACCCCGGGTTTAAATCAGCACGGGCAGCACTGAGGGTTTAAAAGGAGCTTGGTGCCTAGTAAAGGCTCAGTAGCTGTTGAGCAAGTGTCTTAATCATTCGGGACCTCACTGCCTTTTGTCTAAAATGGAAGTAATATCCAATCTGTAGGCTTGCTGTTTATTTGGGGTAATTATTAAAAATATATAGTGGACCTGACACGGACACAGAGTAAGCAGTCAGTAAAGAGCAGTTGTTGCTATCTTAATTTTCCACACTACACTGTAGTCACCTGTAACTGTCTTCTTATTCTACCAAATTGCTTTAAGCCAAGCATTTTCATTTTCTTTGAGTGTCACACTCCGTTTACTCCCTCCCCTTTTGTTAGTCAATCTTTCTTAAGGTATGTGGAGAAAATTGCTTTTACATTGGATTAGGATAAATATCCTGTTTTCACACTTAAAAGTTTCTCTTAATTTTTATTTGTTTCCTTGTGGGATTGCTGTTTCACCTGTGATTACTACTACATCCTTTCACTTTAAGGAGTTATATGAATTTTATATGCTGTTAGGTTTGAAGGATAGTAAAACTTCTGTCTTTTCGTTTAGGAAAAATGTAGAAGACTTCACTGGACCTAGAGAAAGAAGTGACCTGGGATTTATTACATTTGATGTAACTGCTGATATCCTTTAAGAAAATGTTTCATTGCCCTTTCTATAGATGTATAATAATTCAGTGGTCTTTAGTTATTTGGGGGACAATGAGTATGACTATGCCCTGAATCAGCCAAACTTTGGAAGTTTCTATACCTATGTTTTCTTCAGTAAAACAGTGTTATTACCTCATTCACACCTCAATAAAACTTACTTCTAGATTCATGAGTTACGATTGCATGAACATTAACTTTTTCACAGAAACATGCAATAGATTGAAAGCTTCAAGAGAATTTGAATTTAATTTGGGGAGAAAAAAGTTAGATCATTTAGATTAAAGAAAGAAAAATGTTACCAGTGCTCAACCTACCTAGATGGAATATTTCATGTGTAATCCCAAAGGATATGCCCGTATATTATAGCAGAGAGAAACATATGGTAAAAAAGTAGATTGCTTTATTATGGTTCAGAAGGCCAGTATCAAAATGATTATTGGTAAGCCATGTAGCATTTTGCCATTTTACTTCTTTTTATAAGTACTTTATAAATAAGAAATGTATCTTGACAATTGGAAGAGTTACTTTAAAGTGGGGATGGTTTACCATTTTCTCTTTATTTTGAGTTTCCACCTGTTGACAGCTCTGATCATTTTGGCAGGTGTAATCTTCAGGGTCTTACACAGTATCTTGGCAGTGTTCTTCCCTCCCACTTCTAACTGGACCTCACCTGCCTTTTTAAGACCACAGGATTAAAATTGGTTATGGAGATTGAACTGTCTGAAGCTTGTGTAAAGCAGTATCTCAACAGTTGAAGCAGATCTTGTTCCTGGGGTGTTTACCTGGTAGGCCTTTTCCCTACCATGGAATTATTTTGATTTTTTTAGAAATGAATTACTGCTTTAGAAGTAGACTGGGAATCACTTCTGTAGGCACTCTTGTAGGAAGTAGAGTGCACTATGATAAAAGTCCTGTGCTAAACTGTGTGTCTGCCTTCAGGTCTTCATGATATTTTAAGAAAATCTGCTCGAGTAAGGGAGTTCGGATCTAGTGTGAAAGTAGTGACTTTTTGTATTGGAGAACTATAGTGGGATCTCATGGTATCTCAACTGCTGTATGTATACATTGTCAATCTCATCATTTATTGTTTAGTAAGATTTTCTTGGTTCTACTAAAACTTGAAATTGTGCCTGTCGTATAAAGAGCTAGCCTAGACTTCTCATTCTAAAATAGTGATTCTTGTGGGTACATATCTACAAGCAGAATGTAAAGAATGTGTTGTCAGCATATAAACATAAAACAACTTTACAGACGGTGCTTAATAAAAACTAAACATTTCAGTTCATTTCTCAGTGCTACCAGTCTTGGTATTTAGTTGCATATTCTTACCACAGCACTTCATGGTTTGAGACATTTTGTTCTCTACTAGCATGTGTCCAAAAGCAACATGTACAATTTATTATACTTGGTTGAATTTTGTGGGCTTAATTCACACTTGCATATCATTAAATTTAAATTGTGATGATTGGCTGTACTTTAGAACTCCAGTGGAATCATATATGCAGAAAATATTAAATCTTAGACATAGCGAGGTGATATTACAGAAAACTAAATTTTGTATTCATTTTCTTACTAATCAAAGTATCTCAGCTACTAATACTTAAGAGAAGCAGGGGATGCTGATAATCTCACTTTTTTTTTATTTTGGAATGGCCTGGATTTTAAAATATATTTGTCTTTTACATATGTTTATTAAATAAGTGGCTTGATATGTTTCTGGACCATTTCTCCTTTTCTTTATATTTTAGTATCAGTATTGCTGTGGATAATTAATCCAAAAATAAGATCTTTTTAAAAGATGTATGCTGAGTTATGATGTATGTATTCCTTAATGTGTTTACATCTAGAGAATATATTTGATTGGAATGTTAAGCAGTTGTTTCTTTATCTATCAGCAGAATATTCAACAAAAAATAATGTAAGTATATATTATGTAAGCACGTAAGTATAAATGTAATATAAGTACGTAGAAGTATTTTAATACATATTTAGAACCTAATTCTTTATGAAAGAATATACATTTTTTTATATTCACAGTATCTGACTTGAGTAGTTTCATGGAAGTCACAAGCCTGTGGAGGGACGATCCTACTAAGGAAATAACCTTTGGTAGCTTCTCTCTTTTTTCCGCCTGTCTCTGAGCTCTCTAGCTTGTCATCCCCAGAATGGTGTGCATGCAAGGTGATCCATACATACATAAGGAGAAGAGTCAAGAGCTGCTGTTTCTTCTCTTACGAATCTAAGAAGAGTTGCCAGTTTTTCAGTTAATTCAGCTTTTTACTTGATGTTAGGATGTAGTGGCAACTCCCTGCCTCCTTGCCTGCCATACTGGAAAGTGGAAGTCTATTTATGTATTTCTCAATTTAAAATAATAGAGAAAGAAGTTAAACTTCGCCAGTACTTGCTGTGTGGACTGAACACTCGTGCTGTACTCAGTCCTCAAGTCAGATAGTCACGTGCCTCCTACAACCTGCAGATACTCCGGAGGGGAGAAACACTATAGGCAGGAGGCTGACCATGCTACACACATTCTTCATTCATTCACTTTCAGCATTCTGCGAAGTCTTGCAGTACAATCCAGTTGAGTTATATTATCTAATCCTCACAAACTGGTAAAATGGCTTTAAAGGATACCTGCAAAGAGATAAGTTTGAAGGTAAGACTAATGGTCCAAGCATGTGTAAGCAACAGGAAAATGGCAGAGCTGATAATGTTTGTGCTCAGAATTGGAGACAATTTCCAATAAGATCAGAAAGGATGTTCTTGAATGGTGAGTGTACTAGGAAATGGGGAGGTAGCTCAGCTGTAGTTCTGTTAAAGCTAAAATACTTTTTCCACAGCTATGATTAGAGATAGATGGCAAGATAATTGAATCAACAAAATTTGTGATGCCTGTTTACAACTCTTACTTAACCAAATATTTAATTAAAAACCATAAAAACAACTAATTTAATTTTTTTTTTTGAGAGGGTATCTCATATTTATTGATCAAATGGTTGTTAACAACAATAAAATTCTGTATAGGGGAGTCAATGCTCAATGCACAATCATTAATCCACCCCCAGCCTAATTCTTGTCAGTTTCCAATCTTCTGAAGCATAATGAACAAGTTCTTACATGGGGAACAAATTCTTACATAGTGAATAAGTTCTTACTTGGTGAACAGTACAAGGGCAGTCATCACAGAAACTTTTGGTTTTGATCACGCATTATGAACTATAAACAATCAGGTCAAATATGAATATTCGTTTGATTTTTATACTTGATTTATATGTGAATCCCACATTTCTCCCTTTATTATTATTATTATTTTTTTAAATAAAATGCTGAAGTGGTAGGTAGATGCAAGATAAAGGTAGAGAACATAGTTTAGTGCTGTAAGAGAGCAAATGCAGATGATCAGGTGTGTGCCTGTAGACTATGTGCTAATCCGAGCTAGACAAGGGCAATAAAACATCCACCGATGCAGAAGATTTCTCTCAAAACGGGGGGTGAGGTTCTAAGCCTCACCTCTGTTGATCCCCAATTTCTCACCTGGTGGCCCCCCTGCGACTGTGCCTGTCTTAGGTTGTTTCTCCCTTGAGGAATCTTACCCATCTCTGGCTAACCAGTCATCTTCCGGGGCCATACAGGGAAATGTAAAGTTGGTAAGTGAGAGAGAAGCCATCTTGTTTGAAAAGGTTAGCTTTTTACTTCTTTGCAGATTTGGAAAAAAAACAACTAATTTTTGAATCATCTCAGAGTATTTTAAAATCTGTCAGAATTTTTGTGTTCTCTTTTTATAATATGTGATGTGAACTGTTTTGGTAATCTTACTAAGCCGTATATCTACAATTAATATCTCTGTCTATTGAGAGATATTTTCCTTTGTTTTGGAGTTGTATGGGGTTCTCCAATTTCAGTACTTAGTCTTTTTAATCATAGTGTTTATCAGAAGTTTTATAATTAAAAGCTATTAAGCTATTAGACTAAAACCTATTATAACACTATTAAAGCCATTAGTTTATGATTGAAATTTATTAGTCCAGTCTGACTCAGAGCTTTTGTTGCAGATAGAGTTAAGAGTTGAGATATTTATATAGAGTATTGCTGAAACAGAAATCTAAAAAGTATAAATATGATTGCCTTTGATCAGTGAATTAAAATACAAAGGTGAAATCTATGGAATGGACAATGTACTTCGGTGTTGTTTTTACCTGAGTTACCCTTAGGTTTGTTATCAATGTAGCCTGAAGATAATTTGTAGTTAGAGGTGAGTTTTCTGTATTTTATTTGAACTGTATTCATTTTCAAGAGATGATGAGTTCACAAACTAATTGCTGATTGGTTTGATTAGTTAAGTGGGATTTTTAGCATTTCAATTGTACATTTATTTTAAATGTATCTTTCATGCCAGATAGTTTGTTAGGTACTAGGAGTATTGGGTTAAATAGTTTTGATTCCTGCCTTTGAGAGTCAGCAAAATGTTAAAATGAACAGATAGAAAAGCTCTTCTGAAGGTAAGAGTAACAAATGTATGCACACATGAACTATTCTACAAGTCTCAGCAAATTATCCAGATATGTCACCTTCTTGGTGTATGTCTGAATTGCATCTAACATATCTAAATTACATTCATGATTCTGGTCTATCTCAGCATGATTAGTGAGTTATATAAATTGGAATGTGACAGAATGGTGAATGAATAACTGTGCTTAAGTCTTTTCACTTAGCCATATCTTTGATTCTGTGTCCTTCTTTAGGCTTGATGTTTCTGTTAAATGTTAGAGGCTTTAAGGTGAAGATTTGAACCCTCTTTTAGAAATAACTGTCCCACGTTTTTCCAGTAAATGTAGTCACCACATGCTGGGCAATTGGCCCCACAATGCTAACGGATGACAGCTGAATAAGAACATTTCTTGGGAATGAGTAGCAGTCTCCAATGTGTTTGCTCTCCATTCATGCCCCTAATTTTCTAAATTAAACATGTTTATAGTATATTAAAATACTGGTTTAAAAGAATCTGATTTCTAGACTTTTGCCATAATAAAGCAATAATGGACCTGTGTTTTGTAATTTAAAGGAAAAATATTAAAAAGACTACATTTTTTTTAGTGATTCCTTGATAATTTTTAAACCTCAGAGATACGTAAGTTTCCATGGCAGACTGGCAGCAGTGACCCATCTTGGCATTGTGATGGAACCGGAATTGGTTCTCTGTTTCTCTGGCCCTGTACAGGGTCCGCACTGAGCTGGAGTGCCTCAGAAATTTTACAGGGAGAAGTGATTTAAGAGAATGCTTTCCTTCCAGGGATTCTGATCTTTTCTGTTTCTCCAAGGGCCTCACTCTGGAGAACAAATACGTCTTAAAGTTCGTATTAAGTTTTGAGGGTCCTAAATATAGGGTTGCCTCAGCGAAAGGAATGCTTTCCTTTAAGGAGATAATCTTTCTTTTGTTCAAGAAAAGTTTACCCCTTCTTATATGTATTCACTTGTCACCATTTTATATGCGTTGAGATTTTATCAGTTTCCTCAAAGTTGTATTAATTATTAGAAGTTAAACGATTTGCTTACCAGTACTTGAAGTGTGAGTAACCAGCGTGCTATTTCTAAGTTGCCTGATTAATGTCCATTTTAATGTAGGCTCTGAACCAAGTTGTCCTTTGGGACAAGATTGTTCTGAGAGGTGATAATCCGAAGCTGCTGTTGAAAGATATGAAAACAAAGTATTTTTTCTTTGACGATGGAAATGGTCTCAAGTGAGCAATTGTCATTTTCTACATTTAAAGAAATGTGTAATGCATTTATATATATATATATAAAAAAAAAACCAGAGGGTAAAAAGAGGAAAGTTGAGAGAGAAGAAAAGTATTTGTACAGATTTGACCTGGAGGGTGGGGTAGAAATGCTGCCATACAAACTGGGGTGGATCTAAGATGCAGGTTGAGCTCTCAGCACTACGGGAAATGGTATAGTCAGGCTAATTAAGGCCTGTAGCTTCTGTTATGCATACGTCAGGGCGGTAGTGCTGTGATGTCAAAGGGCCCCTCGTGGGATATGAGTGGCAGAGAAACCTTACTGAGGAAGCAGCATTGTTCTGCGAGTTGAAATTGAGATTTTCTGTTTTGGTTCTCTTAACTTCTCTGGACCACTGTTCCCATTTATGCCAAATGAAGAAATTAGAATGGTTGATCTTTGGGGTCCTTTTAGCTCTTACAGTCTTGTGAGTAAACATTTGCAAGGATTTTAGGGGAGGCTATTTGAGCCATACCTTGGGCTTTGCAGGGAGAAATCTCTCCCCATGAGAGGTGATTTGCTCAAGTTTGTCCAGCTTGATAATGACAGAATCAGGTTTCAAATTACTGTCTTCTGATTTCTCCCTCAAATCTCTTTCTATATTCTCCGTGGTTTTTGGTGACTAGATAGTAACTGCAAGTCTGACTGAGCTTATGTCGGTCGTGATGGGATACCTGCAGATGCTGGCATTGCTCTTGGAGTTCAGAAAATTGGGGAAACTTCTGTTTGTAGATTAGGATTCCAGTTAGGAATAGCTGATGATAAGTAAAGTATTTGATGCATCAGTGCTTGAATTGAAGTGTTTTTATAGAACTCCAAAAGTTTCCGCTGACATGTTTATTTTATCTTTTTACAGGGGAAACAGGAATGTCACTTTAACCCTATCTTGGAATGTTGTACCAAATGCTGGAATTCTACCTCTTGTGACAGGATCAGGTCATGTATCTGTCCCATTTCCAGATACATATGAAATAACAAAGAGTTATTAAATTATTCTGAATTTGAAACAGCATATTTTTATACTTAGTGAATCGTATCTCATTTTTCTCTTCCCTTGCCTCTTTCTTTGTTTTTGGTTGTTAATTAATTTTGGTGAGGGGGAGGTGGGTATAAGAACTAATGTCAAAAGGCATATTTGAAGGGAAAGGTTAATGTGCAACTTAAACTTAATTTTACAGACTAAACAAAAGGCCACCAAAGTGGAGTATTACAAGAATAAAATAACTACATAATAAGGATTTGTAAAACATTTATATTTGAAGTATTCCCTGTATTTCCATTATTCACAGAGTTAAAGTAAGCATGAAGGATAGTTCAAACTTTCAGGTCCCTGTGGAGTTACAAGAATTCTGTTTTATGCCTTGGATTCATGCAAGTTCACATGGATGTGATTTAGAAGTAGACATTCCCTTCTGTCTTAGGGTCTGTCTGATTAGTGGAGAAGTTAGTACAGTTATTTGTGAGAAGCCTGGTTTAAGAAACAGCCAGAAGTGATGGAATTTTTTTCCATTCATCTTAGGAATGCCCATAATGCTTGTTTTCTTACAGGTGACTAGCAGCTTTCTCCACTTAAAGACTAAATACCTCTTTATATGCTATAAATCATTCTAACTCATTTTAAAGTCTCTTAAGTCAACCAGATGTATGTCTTTCAGTGCTTTCTCTAAAAATCTTCCTTTGTATTATTTCTTTGATATTTTTAGCATTGCCATTGAAACTTGGAAATGTTTGCATGGTTTACCCTCTGAGTTAAGTTTGTTCTACTGAGCATGCCTAGTGCCACTGCGTGGTAATTCTTTAAAGGTTTTTGCAGGTCCATATTTTAATAATTATTGGAGTACTGGCAATGAATACTTGTTGGTGTGCTCCTCCATTTACAAGCATTCTCCCATATTCTACTGTGTGTTATCCTCAATAATCTAATGAGGGTGAGTAGTGCAGATGTCAGCTCTTTGCAGATGAGGAGACCAATCCCCAAGTTCATTGGGTTGCTTCAGGGTTTCATAGCTGGCAGGGAAGGAAGTCAAAACTTGAACTCAGATCCAATTCTCTAAGTTTATTCTTTCTCCCACACCTTAGATGATAGACTAATCAAAATTCACTTACAGTTTTCATTACATTTCTTGTCATGTTGGACACCCTTTCTGTCACTCCCAGAAGAGGCTTCCCATCCTGTATGGAAGTGACTAATTTTCGAGCTGCCAGCAATTTACATTGAGGTAATAATCTCACTTCATTCTCTGTATAAATTAATATTTCTTATGTTAAAAGTGTAAGAATCCAAATGTATTTAGAAATAATGTAGAGATTAAATAATAATACATGATTGAATATGTAATCATATTTAACAGGTGTTTTTTCTACAGTGGGCAAATAAACATCCTCAAAAGAAGCAACTACATGTCTGTAACCCTTAAAAGCAAGAGCTGACCCTGTAGTTGCTATCAGCAGTAACCAAAAAGGGCTAACATTGTCTAATGATAGTTTAATGGCTTACATTTTGTATATTTACCTCATATGAAATACATCACCACTTAATTACATTGGTTTTAGCAGCTGTTGCATGTGAGGGCTGTGTTCATGTACAAGGTCAGAGGTATAGTATCACCAGTGGTCAACTGGGTTGGGCTCCCAGCTTTTTCGTTAAACTTTGCAGGGTCTTGGCTTCTATAATTATCTGTTAATGACAGAGCTGGACTAGTTCACTTAAAATAATGGTTCTTTTATACCACGTCTGTTTATAAAATTGGTGATATCTATTCAGCAAAGATATTGAACAGAAAAGCACCTTAGTAATGGGAAGACATGGAGATGATGAAAGACTAATTAACACAATTCATGTTGAACTATTTCTGTTAGTTTTTACACCCAGAGAATTTAACTTATACATAGTTTGTACAAATACTAGACGTGGAAACTTAACATCTGTACGCATCAAAGCTTAAAAATGGGGTGTGTCATTAAGGGAGGCGTGCAGAATGGACCTGTCTTCTCTGTGGTGAGCGGATTTGTTCATCTGCTGGAGGTGAATATTGTAATTTACTTGGGTTACAGTTTATTTGACAAGCTCACCCACTTTTTTGGGAAATTGGTGAGGAAGAGGCATAGAGAGGCTCTGCTAGCACAGTGGAAAATAGATTTTTGTTTTTTATTTAACTAAGGAAAACTGCTCAGGACAAGAATGCTCCACCATGAGAATAAGAAACCAACTCAGGAACTCATTTTTGGGTGTGCACAGCTTTGTTAGTTCACCCGGATTCTACATTAAGAAAAACGGACTTGTGTTCAGTCTGCTGACCATCATCTGCCTTAGCGTCAGTGTTTTAAAAAAGTCTTAACAGAGTCTCCGCAAAGACTCAAGGTTTCAGACTTTTCAAAACCTCAGTATGACTTGAAGTGTCTGAACCCAGAGATGATTCTGGGAAATCAGGATAGTTACCTAAAATAATTATGGTTAGAAATAAATTAATTTTGAAATGTGCTCACATACTGCTTTTCTCTAGCAGTTGAATCTAGATAAGCAGCTGTAGCAATGTTTTTTTATTCCCCCAATTGATTACATTTGGTTTCTTCATGCTTAAAGGAAAAGAACAAAAAACAGATTCCTCAGAGGGTAATAGGAAAATGCGTTATTTTGAATTTCCTTTCTTGGAGTTACTTTACAGTGTTTTTGGGTCTGGCCAGCCTTGTAATGGTTCTGAGTTGGTCATTAAGGTCATAATGAACATTTTTTTTCACTATCTAAATCACAGTGATCTAAAGTTTTGGAGCTTAGTGGGTATAAATTAATGGAGGTGCTATTTTTATACTTTGAATTGACATGAAATGGGGGAGAAAAATAAGCTGTGAACTTTGGTAGTAAGCAAACATCTGTCCATTTCAGATGCTTTCCTTGCTTTTAGCAGAGAGCCCGTGTATGTTATACGTGTGCCAGTGGTGTAGAGAGATCTTCAGAAAGTTGTTGCATGGCTTAATGCAATTTGGGAAATTGTTTACTTTACAAATACAGATTTGTAAGAAAAATGAAAATGCTGAAGAGATGTCTGAGGATTTTCTTAATTGCAATAAATATTCAGCATTTTTTCTAATGAATTCTGTTTACAAGTAATGCAGTTTAAAAGACTTTGAAATTTATGTTCTTTATGTGAAGCTGCTGAACTAAAAAAACAAGTCTAGTAAATTTAAGTTTTTTCCTTTCCTTTTTTTCATTTCTTTGTTGGGTGGTGCGGGGTGGAGGTTAATTACATCTAAAAGATCTCCAGAGACTGTATGCTCCTCTACTAGACTGTAAGCTCTTTGAGGGCAGTCTTATTTGGGTTTATCGTTGTATTGTCAGCGCCTAGTACAGTGCCTTGCACATAATAGGCACCTAATAAATATTGATGACAAATGAAGTCAGTGTCTTTCTAATGTGACCAAGCCATGGGAGCTCTTTGCAGTTAACACTGTCCTGTGTAAGTGCTGCCGTTTTCATTCTGGAGCTCCTGGTGATTTAGACCTGATTCCTTTCAAGCCCAGTTGGACTTCCCAGTCCAGGCAGATGGTGCTCTTGCTCCAGTACGATGACCTGTGATCTCCCTGTCCCAGGCTTCTGATCATAAGAGTGCCAAGGGATAGTGACTCGTTGAAGAGTGATACATAAACTGCTTTACTTTAAAATAATACTAGAAAACTGCTGTATTATTTAAAAGGTATTCTTAAGTTATTTTTATAATTGTCAGTTGTACACAGTTGATCAGATGATGTGTATATTAGAAATTTTGAAAATAATTGCTAAATAATTTTAACAATGAGATGGGAACAGATGTGTGGCATACTTGATGGTGCTTTCATTAAAGGAACTGTCAGGTTATCTCTCTTTCCCAAGGTTTTGTACCTTGCAGCAAACAGTGTAGTAAGATTCTAGGTGAGGTATACCTTTCCTCTGGGAAGGGTAGCTGGGGAATGGGGCCCTGAAGCCTGGGCACATTGTCGGCAGATCACAGAAGAGTGCAGAACTGATGTCCGCAGGGTAGTCTGTCCTTGTGCAGCTTCACGTTCCTTCTAACCGAAGACCACTGCTCTCACGTAACCTCAGACTGGAGAACTAATACTAAGTCTTGGGGAGTTCAGATACTCATCTTTACTACGTATTCCCAGCGTTTCTCAAAGTGGTTTTTCCAAGTGTGAGTTCTCTTTGCTTGCACTTTACCGACATCTGTTTTTGCAGATTTTAGTTTTTACCAGACTGGTGGATGTCCAGTGATCTTTCGTAGTAGGTTTCAATATACATTTTTATCAAAATGCTAGATTTCAGATGTTAATCGCTCATTTGGATTTCTTCTGTAAAGTGTCTGTTCAAGTCTTAACTCATTTTCTTTTGTTTGTCTTAAGATGTGCAGAGTTCTTTACATAGTCTGCATTCAAGTCCTTTGTTATATTAATGTCTGGCTTACCTTCTTACACTTTCCGTGGTGCCCTTTGATAAATCAAAGCTCTTAATATAATGAAATTTATCAGGTTTTCTTTTATTAAGACTCGTTTTAACTGTTCTTCTGACTTAAGTGGTGTTATTTAGAACAGGAAGCATGTATCAGCTTTGAAGTCAGAAATATATGGGTTTGGATTCTGGCCCTGCCACTTTCTACCTATGCACTTGGTAAGTTATATTCAGTTTCATAAAAGAGTGACTTGCCCAAACATCATGTCTGATACCGATTGAGTAGTATGTGCCGGACATTATGTATGATTTGCATGTGTTTAACTCACCAACAACTCTTAAAAGGAGGTACTATTATCACCCCTATTTTAAGGAGGAGAAAACTGATTTGTGTGTGATTTGCCCAAGGTCATGAGGAGTCAGTTGGTGGTAAAGCCAGTGTTCAAATCCTGGCATCTGCACGAGAGCCTGAATGCTTTTCTATCAGGCTGTGCTGTTCCCTCAGAAACTCAGAAGTGTTCATAACATTCATTTAAGAATTGCTGTGAGAAATAAATATGTATGGGAAAAGGACCTTCTAGCATCCTTGGGACATGGCAGGTTTTTATTCTGTGAAATGTAGGGGAGTTGACAGAACAGAGTTGAACAGTTCACAGACTAGCAAAGGCAGGTTTTTTTCCTTTTACAAGTAATTGTAGAACAGTTATATAGTAATTTCACTTAATGCAAAATGGTGAGATTTGCTCTTGTACTTTCATAATAAAAGTGGGGGGAAATCAATTTATTAGGACAATTACATAGAGAATTTTTTAGTTACCTTGAAATGTATGAGAAAATTTAAGCTTCAGTTTAACCACATGGAATAAGGGCCAGGAAAAGAAAAGAAGTAAAACTCTACCTGAAGTTAGTGTGCAAGATAAAATGCACCAGTTAAGGGGTGGATTTATTCTGGCCATTGCAATTGGGAGAATGGTCATTTGGGCAGAAGAATGTCTCAAAGGGAAGGAGTCCCGGGGGTTTTTCGAGGCAGGTGAACAAGGGAGTCATGAGGAAGGCGGGAGCCAGTACTCTGAGCGTTCAGGGAGGTGAGCCCTCGCAGCCAGCCGCCTTTCACAGCAGCAGAGGTGGGGGATTTCTTTGCTACCGCTGCTTTCTGGGAGCACGGGTCTTTGAAAAAGTTATGTTGTCGTTGGTATTGGGGAGGTAAGAAACTGCAGAATCCTCGCGTGTAGCAGCAGCACCAGGGGTCAGTGTCCAGGCAGTCTTCCTGGTCACGGCAGCAGGCCAGGAACCTCATCGGATGAGCTGGAAGAGAGGAGCAAAGTGAAGCAGCCCCACTCCCTTGATTTACAACTTAAGAAAGATCGATGATTCACTCACTACTTGACAGCTCTTTACACGTCACGTCACAGCAATCAGATTAACTGAGTATTGACCCAACACTTTTAGTACCAAATTTTATGCGTTTTCATTTAAATGAGTGCATTGCGTTATTTCTCTCCATTGGTCGTTTGCCGACTTACAAACCCTTGATAACCGTTCTGATCGTACAAGGCGGTTAATCGGCTCTGAAGTTTTCCTTTTCCTGCCCATCCCCATGGGAAGAAAGTGCAGGAGCTCCCGCTCCTCCGAGGTTCGATTTTCCGCGGTTTCAGTCAACTGCGCTCAGCTTCCGGCTGTCCGCCGCGGCGCCTGGCGTAGCGTCTGAGGGTCGGGAGGTCAGTGGTCGCCTGGCGTTACGTCACGACGCCCGCGTCTTCCGCCTCGCCTCGTCGCATCCCGGAGGCGTTTCGTCATCGCTTCAGCGCAGAAGGAGCGAGTGCAGCCCGGCAAGGTATTTGGAGACAGTGTATTGGGATCGTTCTGTCTCGTTGTTGGTTATTCGTCTCTTACTGTGCCGACTTATAAACCGAAAGGCCGAGATATGTACGTACAGGAGAAAACAATGTACAGGGGGCGGGACGCGCACACCCCGCAGACAGCTGACGGCTGTGCGCGTCTCGTAAGGCAGCGGTAATACCAGGTCTGAAAGGGATGGCGATGAAGACACTAAACATATTGTGTAAAGGCCTTTATTGATCCTCTTCAAAAATTACAGTTCGCTGGAAGTTGCGAAAACGACACAGAGAAGTCCTCTGTATGGCACCGGCACCCAGTGTCCCCTCATGGTGACGTCTTAACGTCATTGTCACTGCAAGAAAAACACTCGGGCCCGACACAGATTAATAGGAGAAAGGGGCCAGTGCCTCCAGTGCATTTCTGTTCCAGTGAGTGAGTGGCGCAGGAGAATGATTTTCTTTATAAGTGAACTGCTTTTATTTACACATGGCCTGTAAAACCGCTAGAGAGGGATGCAATTTTCACCGATACAATTTTCCTAGTTTCTTGATTTTTAAGAATTTTCTTCCCCGTAAAATGTTTACGTGCATAGTCATCTCACCAAAATCATAGTTCACAAAAAGCCGTCAGCAGTGTGCTCTGTGCAGACACGAGCCCTTGATACCCTGGTACTTCATTTTGGCCTCATGAATGGGAAATTCTTCATTCTGGCCAGATGTGTTCTCATGAAAACGCAATGGAAAAACACGGTACCGTCCTTGTGGTGGTGGTTTTCTCAAATTCTTTCCTTTTGCTGATTACTGGAGGTCTGGTGCCCTCTGGTGGTGTTACTGGGGAAAACAAGTAATTCAGCATTTCATGCTATGTAGTCGTGCTGTGTAATGTGTACAGTTTACAACGTTTGGAAGCATAGAGAAAATGACCCACAAGAATATGCACTTGGTTCATTTCGTCTTGTCTCACGTAAAAATTGCTAAAACCTTTGAGTGTTAAGGTGAGAGAAAAGTAACATCTAATCCCATAAACTGAGAGTCGGCTTGAAAACCAGGTCAAGGAGAATGATACATTTCTAAGAGTGGGACTAACAGAAATAAGTAAGCTTTATCACATCTGTGTGCACATTGCCGATAAATCCCCTCCCACCGAAATAAGACAAGTGCATAACATTGAAAATCAGGTTAAAAACAAACCTACTAACTGAAAAAATGGTATTTTGTGGGCAATCTGAACTATAAACTGAACAGTGGACGGTGTGGCCCTACATCCTTTAGTTTTTGATCATTTGATTTTCGTCCTTTCTATATCCTATGTTTTATATCTCTTAAATGGCATGAATATATTTTAATTGATACTAGGAATATCAAATTGGACTTGTTCTCTCTTTATACTTTATGTATAATCTTTTTCTGTGCTTATTTTTTCTTATTTTGAATTTATTGAGACTTTTTGTTTTTACTTTATATTTAATAAATTCTTAAAAATTATGTAAACCTTGAAATGTTACCATGCATATGTAACAAACTTTTAATGAACCTAAATTAATAGTTAGGAATGTAAAGTCAAAAGAATGTAAGCTCTGTGAGAGCTGGGGGTTTGTCTTTGTGCATTGTGGTATTCCCAGCACTCTGAGAATATATCTGTTGGTCTAATCATTTTATCTTATTCTGTGGTGGCTTATAAATTCTTTTTGTTTGAGATGTCGAATTTTCTGTGTGTATGGATTTATTGCTTTTATGGATTCTGGAAAACTCTCACTAATTATCCCTTTGAATATTGCCTTTCTTCTCATTGTGGGACTCTGATTAGATGTATGTTCCACTCCCTTTGTCTTTTAGGGCTCTTTAACTTTTCTTTTGTATTTTGTTTCTGTTTTCTCTCTTGGTTTATTCTGGGTATTTTCTTCAGATCTGTATTCCAGGCCACCACTTTTCTCTAAAGGTGTGTCTACTCTGCTGTTTAACCGACCTATGGAATTATTATTTATTGAAGTTCTTTGTTCTTTTGTAATTTTCATGACCCCTTTTTAGGTCTTTGGTCCTCATCACTTATTTAATTTCATCTTTTATTTTTAAACACTTCATACATTGCCATTTTAAAAATTTTGAGCCTGAAATACTAATATCTGAAGACCTTTTTGTTTTCTGTTGATTCCACTCATGGTAGTTTAATCTCTGTGTCTTGGCAGTTAGTTAGTCTAAATTTTGAGTCCACATCTGGTAGGACTTACTCTGTAGAAACACTGAGCACCAAAATTGGTGAATCTTTCCTCTAGCTGGGGTTCGCATTTGCTTCTCTGCCTAGGCCAAGTTAATTGTCATGAGTAGTGACCTTAGGTATTTTCAAGGGCTATGGCTTAACATGGGAGTTCCAAGTTTCCCCCCTTTCCTGTTCCCCTTTCTTTGGGTTCAAGGCTCAGTCTCTTGATTGTAATTTTCAGTGGACCTCTGCCTTCCGGAAAATCCTGAATTTTGGTTTTTGTTACTGCTCACATTTAGGTTGTGACTCACTGGTCTTCTCCCCCTTCCCGTGGAGCTGATACTAAGAGCTGAGAATGCATTAAATTTGGATCGGCAGGAAGACTCCTTAGAGTATCTAGTCCAGCATGATGCCCGATGTGGATGTGTGCGAAATACAGCCCTTGGCAGCTTATGTGGAGCTATTGATCTGGTAAATGCGGTTTTCTCCCTTTTTCCTAATAAGCAGAGAATGCCAGAAGTTTCCTATTTTTACATGAAGTTTTCCTATCTCACTTCAGGGCATCAGTGTTTTGTTTCCTGCTATAGTTTAGTTGGCAGGGGGCCTGATTTTATCACCATCCCATGAGATATAATGTGATTTAGTACTTCGTTTACATCATGTTCATGGAACTTTGTGAGCCGGACGGCCTATTCATATACATGTATTTCCGAGCACGATTGCTCTTTCCCGCAAATTTCAGGGGCCTACCATTATTTTGAAGTGGCTCAGTATTCAGAAATCTGGGTCATGATAGTATATAACCCCTAAAGTGACAGACAGGTGGCCATCCCTTATGTCCACTGTCACTGTGAAGACCTTCTTTATGGGCATCTTGGGTTTAGGTATGTGTGCAGCTGCACTCTGAATACTTGACAACCCAGGAATTCAAAGGCCCATAGCTTTGGCCACAATAAAAGCTCCTGTGGTTTTCCCAGCGTGCTGCTCATGCAGTTCTGCCAGTGTCCCTGTGGATCCGGGTGCTTCCAGGGCCTGAGCCGGATCGTGATGCTGTGTGGAGCCGTGGGGATCCAACAGGTCAGTCAGGGTGAATACCATCAGGGCTTGGGGGCAAAGCGTGCTCTTCAGAAAGTTAATATTCTTGTAAGCATAATTTTCGGGTTATTAATGGACCTTGAAATGCCAGGTTGCTATGAAAGGCACATCGTAAAATGTTTTGTCTGATCCCCCAAGCCTGAACATTAAATTGGAGGAGCGTTGACCCGCAGCACTGACCGGCTGTTGGTCCCCAGTAGGGCATCCTATCCCAAGGAGACGGGCGGCAATCCTGCCCCCTAGGGGTCAATTGATGATATTTACCACTTCTAATCTGAAGAAAGCAGGGAATTTTCCATCACTGGAATGGACGCTTATTATGAATATAGATTTGCATTTCAACACCAGATGTGAGCTTTCTGAATGCCTGATTCACAGTATCTCTTATAACACCATTTCTGAATGAGGAAATTGTTTTACGGCAAAAGAAATAAAGCTAATTTTTATGGAATAATTGGTCTTACCCCATTAGCGGGAACAGATGGTTTTTTCGAGTGGTGAGTGGCTCTTTGAAGACTGATTTATAGAGCTGCCTGAAATATAATATCTTGCAAGTTGGTGGTACTTTCCGGTAGACGGTGGAGCCAGCAACCAGTGTGGGTTCCTTGTAGCCACGGTCATGGGTCTAGCAGTGAATTGGCAAGTAGGAGTGTGGCACCTCTCCCATTTGCACATGGTGGTCCCCTGGCCTTTCTCGTCCTCATTCCCGTTTCCAGGACCTGTGCCCCTCTAAGTGCCTTACTCTCCGGGGGAGGAGTGCTTTCCGCCTAGGAGAAAAAAAGGACCCACTGAACTAAAACTGGAAGTTGAACTGAAGGTTGAGATGGTAACCTAGTTGTGTTGAGATCCTCTGCCACTGGACAGGACAAACTACGAGGAGGTTACTCTTTTGACTGAGAATGTTTATCTTAGTTATCAAGCAGAAATATGGTTACAGACACATGAGAAAGCAGGGGGGCGTCTGTGACCAGAGAGGTTTAACATCCATTGACCCTGGGGCCCCTGTTCAGGATGTGTCGGTGAGTCCCCATGTCACATACAGCATATGCAGTGTCCTCGGGAGAAGGCAGAGACCCGGTAATTCCTTACTTGCTTGCTTTCTGCATAATAAGATGTATTTCTGTTTACTCAGCTAAGTGACTTTCTGGGTTGCCTTATTTATTTTACATTTAACTAACCCTTTCTTCCTATCAGGATTGGCTGGGTTATGCTGGAAATACAGCCAATCCAACATTTTAGTGGCTAATACAGCTAAACATTTTTTTTACACATGATCCGAAAGGGTCAACAGGGTGGCAGGGGCCCTGGTTTTTGTAATCAGAACGTCTGACCTTGGCTGGAGACTGTGTGTCACATAGCTTCTAGGATCTCTGAGCTGGAAAATAGGGGAAAAAAGGATATGGTGTATCATGCAATGCCAGTCTTTCAGACCATATTTGCACAGGAGAATTATTTGTAGTATATACACAGAGAACAGTACTACAAAGTTAGCTGCCTTTCAGTTCTGAAGCCCCCATAGACCTATATACACTTTAAGTCTTGACGATGGTTGCTGTCAGGGATAAATATAACAAGTTTGTTTGTTCCTGGAGGGTCTGTTCTTTTTGGCAGCACTTTATCAAGAAACCAGTTATCTGCCTTCACTAACTTGATCTTACCACTACCCAGAATTACCTTAGAGAATTTCAGAACTACCCTGCATAAAAGGGGACATATTTTTAATACAGCAACAAGAATGGAACTATGTGGAAGTGAGTGCAGCATAAGCGGCAGCCTGGATGATTCAGGAAACAGCAGTAAGAGCGCAGTGAGGGGGAGAAAGGGGTTACTGGGGTTCAGTTTAGAGTGAATCTGCAAGAGACTGAGCAGTGCACGGGTTTCATGGAAGGCGGTGGTGGGTGCACCATAAGGCAGACGTAGAAAATACACTATAAGAATGAATGCTAGTAACTGAGTGCTACATGAGCACACACAGGCATAGATGCACACATACATATAAAAAATTTAGCCCATTGCAAGAATATTATCAGTATGATTGATGAGAGATTGGTTTAAGAATGAGCTCATAGTTAAGTATTTATAACATTAAGTTTTTATAACATTCAGTTAAATTGTTCAGGACATGCCATAAGTGAGTTTAAGTTATTCTCAAGCAGGTGACATTTTTTTTGTCACCAAAAAATACTTATTGCAGGAAGATTCCCACGGGTCCTTTGGAAACTGAATTATGGCTAGGCCCTGGAAAAGAAAACAAAACTAGCATTTCTGGTTGATCTCCACTAGATGGTACTATTGAGTTCAAGATTGAAGCTGATGTAAATTTTTATGCAGGATTTGACAAATTATAGAGGATATTTATATTGTGTTACTTTTCCCTTCTATAGTAATATTTAAAAAAGTAACCAGATCATTTTATTCATTTTGGAAATAAAGTAATCAAAATTTGTAATCTCTGGAAATCTGAAAACTTCTTAAGCTGGTATATCTGACATTTTTTATTGTAAATCCTAGAAATGATCTTTTATTATAAAACAGGTTTTGGCCATTTTTACATGGGTTAGAAGTTTTGATCACAGCTATTTTCCTTTTCAGGTGATATAAACATTAAAGGCCACTGAAAGAACAGGGGCTACTTCTTTTCAGGCAAGAAAACATCTTGAGTGGCTTTGTGTGTAAAAATAGACTAGTTTTGAGCAGATAGTTTCACTTCAATTGCAATGAGACATTATAAACAAAAACAATTCTAAAAAATAAATAACTTTTCTTTCAATTATTGAATGAAGAGTACAATATATGCTGATTATGTGCATGTTATTGCAGAATAATAAAGAACCCAACAAATCAGTCTGTTTTTCTTTGCTATGAATACACAGCTGGAAGTGATCTCCACGATTACCTGATCCTTCTCCATAACTGTACAAATAAAGAAACTGAGGAGCTGTAGCGCATTGTAAACTGTATTTGAGAAAGAAAGGAAAAATGGTCTTTCTTACCTCTTGGTTGAGTGCAGCCTTCCTGGTCTGCAGGTCTTTACAAGGCACTTGCTTACAGTGTCCAAAAGCAGGGCCAGATCATGAGCAAAGAATCGGGGTCTTCGGGCAGTGTTTATGGATGACTCATATTATCTTTAAATTTTTAAATTAAATTAAATTAAATCTTTAAATTATTTAAAATTTGTACAGCTAAGAAGTGGCATAAAATGACATTTGCACAGGAAAATACATAAATATCATGTCCCCAGAATCAGCTTTTATAGTGAAAAGCATAGACCCTGGAGGCAGGTAGAGCTGAACAGTGAATTACAGCTTCTACACTTACAAACTATGTAACCTTGGACAAACTACTGCACCTCTCTGACACTCAGCTAACAGATATAAAAAGTATTGCAAATACCTACTTCATGGGAGTGCAGTGCGGTCTAAATGAAATAACATGGTAGGCTCTCAATAAATAGTTGTCCCCTCACCTCATTAAGAAATAGTTTTTAAAGTGGAAAATAAGTTTAAAAGCCCAATTTAAGGGGTGAATGAGCAGTCTGATATCATGTATCTGTCCATTTGGGGGTTAAGTTGTGTTTTGATCACTTCTAATGATCGTTTTTTATTAATTTCTTGGTCCTAGATTTGCAAAGCCCATTTTATTGATTACACAGACCTAGCAGAGTCAAGCTGATGGAAACCCAAAGACTGTAGATATCAAGAGTGAGATGTAGAAAATCACAGGCAACCGGAACGCGGTATTGTGGAGGTTGTGTCAGGGCTGCAACCTCCTGACTGGACCTGCATAATTCAACATCACAGTTCGCCCATTTTCGCCCTCCCACCACACCCATTACCGTTTTATTCCTACATTTGTTGGCTTTATACCAACATTTGCTAAATTACAAATTACAGATGTTGATGGATTCCAGAATGGTTAACTGTGAGCATCTACATACTTGAAATTTTTTCTTTTTCAGTTCTCTAATAATCCAGCAGGTGTCAGTCATTCTCTTTAGTCTGTTTATTCTCACCTGCCTACTTCCAGCTGAACAGAAATCACCTTTAGTCATGTCAGAGTGAAAAGTTTGTTGAACTGTAACAATAATAATCCTCCCCACCATCTTATTAGGGACTTGAGGCATTTTGTACTCAAGCAATGATGAATTTTTATTTTTTCATTTAATTAAAAAAAAATCTCCATCTCAGTTTCCAAAATGTATAACTAGGGAAGTAAATGAGGAAACAAGCGACGCGCAGGGAATTTAAGATTGCATTTGTGATGAAATGGTTTGTACTTGCATGAGAGAAGACAAATCACTCCTTGATGCCAGTGTAAGGTTATGATTTCACTCTCTAGTTTTTAGCATAAAAGTCATGCAGTTTGTGGTGTATGTT